TGCCAAAGACCACACAGGCTTCAAATGAAGAAACTCATCATATCGGTATAGCCATGGTCAATCAGGATGTTTCTGAAATCAGTGAATTTACAAACCATAGACAGTTCATCTCCAATTGTGGTTATCCCAAGCACTAGCATAGCTTTTTTTTCCAGGAGCTGACGATCTAATTGACACATGCTCTTAATTTCCTTCTTGTTCATGGTTTATTCAAATCAAGCTGCAGAAATATCAAAAAAACCTCACCTGTAGCTGGATTTGTCACCAATGCAGATTATTGGGGGAAAAAAATCACAGATTTTTTTTGGCAACAGCTCTGAGTCTAGAAAGCTTGAGCAGCTTCCCAGCAGGCAGGAAAGATTCCAAAACTCACTGGAGCTGTGGTTACACTGCCCTGTCCAATACATTTGAGTAGGACAACCTGAATAACATTACTCCAGAAACGTTTCCCAGTTTCTTTCTATTTATAGCAAGGAAATGTTTGGCTAGGGCTCAGTCAATCCTTACTGCAGTGTGAGTGACTAAGCACCATTAAGAAGTTCTCAGAAAAGCTAAGCATTTTTCTTAGTCTTCAAAGCCTGGATTGACTGACTTTCAAAAGCTTTAGTGCAGTTAGAGGCCAAGCAGAGATCCTGAGGACACTTCTGATGGTCCATTTCTCATCTATGCTGAGTATTGCAATAATTATTATGGTGTGCAAATCACCTGGAGTACACTGCCTTCTCTGGATACAACTGGTAATGCTTTCGGAGCTTATGTACAAAGTATGACAAACAATATGTATGGACCTGTCACTTCATTACCTACCCACTGCTCTGGATTATTCCACCACATCTTAGCATCCATTATAACTGGATGGGCTTTTACTCCTGCCTCATGTGGGACTACTATAATTCTCTTTCTTCTTCAGGGTAACACTGCTGGTACAGTCACCATGGCTGGGCTTCGCGAACGAAGATTTGAGAAGGGCTTCTACCCACGTTTGTTACAAGCGCACTGGTGGCTAAAAAGGCCAATATGAGATAGACACGTCCGGTTGCAAAAGGCACAGCAGAAAGACTCCTTAGGTGGTATATTCTGCAAGACACGATTCTTTCTGAGTTGTCTTTTCTCCTCAAGAGTGATCCTGCGTCCTTTCTCAAAAGCATCAGCAGTGAAAACAAACAAAAAAACCCCAAAACCAAATAAAAAACAACTAACCAACCAAACAAAACCACAAAAAAAAACCCCAAAGGCTCATAAGCACAGTGATGACTGCACTCTGCAGTTATCTGTTAAGTTATTGTGATTATCTTGAGGCTAAAGACCCAACAATTCTGACCTGCACCAACCATTGGTCTGTAGGATTGCATTTGTATCTAGGCCAACACTTCATGCCCCATGAAGAAGTTCCCCATGGCCTCAAACAACTATTAGGAACAGTGGCTATTTACGCGGTATCTGTAGAATACTGATCAAGAAATGAGCAGGTGATCCTCTCTCTCCTTTTCTAGCAGTGTTAGCCAATAGGCAGGCAAAGAAGACCAGAGCCAAGTGGATTCATTTGGTGGCAGGGATTTGCATGGCGCTGCTGAGGCCTAAACGACTTGTGAATATTTAACACTGGCTCTGTCACAGCTGGACTCTGCCACAGCTGAGAACAAAAATGTTGCAAACTAGTTGGGTCTGACTGCTTCTTGCCCAGCTATGCAAGACACTTGGACTTTGGACTAGGGTATAAAACACTGGAAAGAAATTTCAGACATCAGAGGCCGGAAGGTCTGAGTGGGACACATGAAGGAGGTTAAGCAGAATGGTCTCATCTGTAAACAGGATGTGGTTATTGTGTAAGAACTGGAGGCCCCAAAGAAGCTCTCAAATACAGCAGCTAAATCCTGTGAGATAATGTGGATTTTTGCTGAACTATAAAATTAAAAGGCCTATTACTGTTCCCACTGACATCCCAGTGAACCCAGGGTTTTTTTCACAAATTTTCTAGAGGAAATTACTCTAAAATTTTTTACAGGAAGAGCTCTGACGTCCCAGGGAGCATTGGTTTGTTGAATGGCATCAACCAATAAGCCTGAAGAAAGAGAACTGCTGTTCTCTCAAAGTTGTGCATATTGTATCATTTGCCTAAATGTTTGCAAGTATAGATACAATGTTGCAATAATGAATGGGGGTTCTCCCCGTACGTGCTAAGGTAAACAGAAAATCCAATTTAATCTCTCCTCTAAAAATGTACAGTCCAATTAAAGAATGCATTCATGGGCTAAGCACATAGAAGGCAAGAAAAGGAAAGAAATTCTAATATAAAAAAGTGGGTTTTTCAAGTCCTTTAATTCGTCAGCCAGTGTTTGAAGATGATTAATACTACCATAAATAATGAGGTTAGTTGTGCTATCAAAGTTGTAACTAGGAGTGTTTGCAGGGCTTGGCCTAACACATACTGACAAGAGGACTCAAATGGACTATAACTTACATTCTTAAAGATATACATGTATATGTCTTTACCTGTAACAGTTTGTATTTACAGTCAAACATGGCCAAGTTCTCCAAGCTTTTTCCTGGTTTATTGTGTTACAATAAGCACAAGTGAGTAGATGGGAAAAAAGACATTACATAAAATATGTCACAGATAACTAAAGACACACTGAAAATGCACACATGTATCTTTTAAAATTTAAGTTGGTTTTTATATCAGATATTTATTGAACCTTAATTAAGTCTGATTATTTTATTTCTAGGGCTTTTGCCATCTCTGGAAGCATTCTTTCACATTTTACTAAGATGATTTCAGGAGATGTCCAACAGTCCTGGTAGCACAAAAGAACAGCTCTGTACGTTCCCTTTGCGGGAATATGTGAACTGCCTTGGTTTCTTTCAAATGCTTATACATGGTATACCTGCTGGAAATATGGCTGTAAATTAACATGGGCTTAAAGGTCTAAGAAGAGTTTGTGGATTTTTTACTTCTAATTATGATGATGGCTGCATCATAGCGGTTTCGCTGCATTCCAATTATGCTTATCCCTCTGTGCACTACGGCCTTTACTGTGCTAACAAAGCATGCCTGGCTAACAGGCTGGAAACACCATTTGAAAGGACTATTTTACAGTGTGCAGAGACTTTTAGTGCTTAGGCATTCATGCTGTAGGTTGCAGATGAGAGCCAGTGTCTTGAATCACATCTCTACAAGTTTTCTCTCCAAAAGTGATGATTGATCTTCCAGTTGATTTTAGTTGAAAAGGAAGTTCAATAATGAGTCACAAATAATACTTATCTCCACCAATGTAACAACGATTAAGACGAGTAATACTTATTACCCGAACACTGACTAGATAATCCAAAAATGCAAACTAGTACTAAAAGAAAAATAAAAGCAGAGTACAGAATACCGTACAACAGCGGTTATCAGAAAGAAACGTTTGACTCTGTGCCACCGGTTTACATTGGTCTTTCAGCCGTAAGAATGAATGGAAGCGCCTTCGTAATCCCAGCGCTCACCTGGCGACGCCAGGAACTGGCTGTGCCTCCGCCCGAGCGGTGTTGGCCGCTTTAGGCCACTCTCAGCAGGCGCTCCCAGGTCGGGGCCACACCCCCAGCACGGCGGTCGGGGTGAGGGGTACGGGGGGCTCACACACACCCCTCCGCTACCTCCCCTCTCCTCGTCCTCAGTCCCGCCGCCGCTCTGCGCTCTCCCGGCCCTGGCGGCCCCGCTGACCGGCCGCCGCCCAGGGCGGCACCACCACAGGGGAACGCCCGGCGCTGCCCTGGCCCCGGCCGACGCCCGCCCCGCCGCCCGAGATGAGGCACAGCCCCGCCGGCCCCGCCGCCGGGGAATCTCTCGCGGGAAATACGCGTGGAGGGCGGCTCCGCGGCAGCCGCCGTGCACCTCCGGCGTCGCGCCAGTGGCAGGGGTGGCGCTGCCCACGGCAGCCGCGACCTCCGGCCGCCACTACCTGTTACCAGATGCCGCCTCCGCCCGTCCGGAGGCCAACACTCGGCTCCCGCCGCCCCGCCGCGCCCCACTCGCGCCCCGCACGCCGCCCCGGCCCCTGCACGGCGCGGCGGGGCGGGGGAAGCGCGCACCGCCACATCCGGGTGCCGGCGCTCTCAGCGCGCATGAGCGGCCGCCCCGCCGCTGCTGGGCACGGCGCCGCGGTATCGCTGCTGCCGCCGCCGCCGCTCCTCCCCGGGGCGCTGCGCTCCGCGCTGTCAGGCAAGGGGGAGCGACCGCGAGGCGGGGGAGGCGCCCTCCGCAGCAGGAGGAGGAGGAGGAGGAGGAGGAGGGGGATGGTTGTGGGGGCGGGCAGCGGCAGCCGCTGGCAGCAGCCGGGAGAAGCCCCACTGGTGACTGGCTGGCGGCACAGGCAGCTCTGAGGAGGCGGAGGGTGCCTGAGCCTAGCCGCGGGGCGGGCGACTGCTGCCGCGGGGGGAGAGGCTGCGGCGGCGGGCAGGGACCGGCACACACACACACGCCCACACACACGCACGCATACACACACACACACACACACACACACACACACATACACACACACACACACACACACACGTAGGGACAGGTGACAGCGGCGGCCGCGGCTGCCACGATGTGAGGCGGGCTGTGCGGGGGGCGCGGGGGCTCCGCGGAGGGGCGAGGCGAGGCAGCCCGCACAGCTCCGGCGGCGGAGGAGCGGCTGGGGCGGGGCCGGCCGGGCCCGCGGCGATCCGCGGCGGGCAGGGCGCGGGGCGTGGAGCGGCCGCGGGCGGCGAGTCGGGACCGTCGGTGGCGTCGCTTAGTGGCCTGACCGGCTCCTGTTTGCTTGGCTCCAGTCTCCGTCTCCGAGCCCGCGGGCCCCGATGAGAAGCGCCCCTGCGCTGCCGGACTGACGCCTCGCCGCCCTCCCCGCGCACGAGAAGGAGCGCGGCGCCCCCGATCGCGGGCCGCCCCTGCACCGCCCTCCCCGGCGGGGGCTCGTCTGCCGCCTGCGGGGCGGGCGGCGCGGTGGTGACAGCGCGGCGGCGGCGAGGCCGGGGGAGCGGGAGCGCCGCCGCCGAAGACCATGAGGAAATTTAACATTAGGAAGGTGCTGGACGGCCTGACGGCGGTCTCCGCCGTCGCCTCGGCGTCGTCCGCCGCGCAGCAACAGCAGGCGGGGAACCGGGAGACGGAAATCCAGGAGACGCTCCAGTCCGAGCACTTCCAGCTCTGCAAGGTGAATGAATGCTGCAGCCCCGAGCCGGCTGGCGGCCGGGGAAGGGGGCGCGCCGCCGCGATGGGCGCTGCGGGCTTTGCTCCTCCGTGCCGACCCTGCCGAGCCTGCCCGCTGCTCCTGTTTACTTGTTGGATTTCTGTATTTCGGGGGGTGAAGAAGGGAAGAAAGCGGCGGGTGTAGCTGTACAGGTCTTGCTGGATTTCTGTAGTCATCTTTCTTGGAGAGTCTCGGGGTTTGTCGTCTTCTAGTAATACTGACCATGTTCATGAAGGCTTCGTAGAAAGAGTTGGATGGATGGGGAAAGGAGTGATACCTAGCTGTAGCGCAGATGTGATTATCGCGGCATTTGAGTAGAAGCCTCTGCTAATGGGCCCGAAGGACAGGGGATCTGTTGCTCTGCGTTATTTGGAAATGCTTTTTTCCTGTTTCTTTACGCCTGAAAAAGGCTGTCGTCGTTTGTGGTGGTTTCACTGCAGTGTGTTGCCGAGTTGCTGATGCTGCTATTGCAAATCTTCTCTGGAGACAAAGTTCCTGTTTATTTATTTGCTTGTGTGTGATACACTAACTGCGATTTGTGTCTGCACATTTCAGAAAATGATGCAGCGAATTAACCACGAGCTGTACCAAGAGGAATAAAAGCTGATTTGAATATCAATGCCCATTTTTAATTTTGCAATGCACCCATGGCCTAGCTTGACATGGATGAGCTTGTTCATGGATTCTCCTACTTGTTTTTTCTAGTATTGCAGACATTTCTGCTGCTTTTGCAAGGTGTCACAAAGGATAGGGAAGAGAGCAGAGCTGTTGTCAGTTAGATCTTATTTGGTTGTGAAATACAGAGAGTTGTGGGGTATGCCTGCAACTTCAGTTAAGTAGAAGGAGTATATCAGAAGTTTGCTTTGTGTTTATGAGATCCTGGAATACCCCTGCTTTAAACTAAAGGTTTTGAAACAGAAAAGCTAGCATTTGTATGGCTTATACTGTGTGTCTGTTTACAGCAAAAATGAGAGTAGGTGACACTTTTATTATGTTCTCAATTCTGATGAATTGCAGCCTGAGAAGCATAATGGAGTTATTGCTTGGTCAATTACCAAATTAGTCTTGGCTAACTGAAAAGCTAGAAGTGCCAATAGCTTCATATTAAGAGAGAATCCCATTGTCGAGGTGGGGTATTTTTTGGTTTTGTTAATTCTGGGGCTGGCTGTTCTCTTTGGGGAAAGTACAGAGTGAGAGTTTGGTTCTGTCAAGCTCAGGTTGTTTTCTTTTTTCCCTGCTGAGAGAGGTTGCACTGTCATGTGGAGCCCATTGGATTGAAATTGAAGTGATTCTGAGAAAAGCAAGTCTTTAGTAATTTGTAATAGCTCTGATGGCAAGTCTAGCTTTGTTGCCAAACTTGCTAGGCGTATCTCACGTTTTAATAGTTTAGGGTCTTTGTTAGAGCTAAAAATAAGATTACTCAGGGAATGAAGTAGACGAAAAAATAAAATGCTGAGTTGATACAGTCTTTGTACAGAAGAAATGTAGGATTCAAATTAAGTTTCAGTAAGTCTGACTATCACTTGGTGCTCAAGGATGAATGAGTAATTATGACTGGAAAACATCGTTTATAATTGGTTCATGTAAGACAGCTGATTTTCTCAGTCTGTCATTTAAATGCTTTGTAGTTCCTTTTTAAATTGTGATTAACGCTGAATCCTGTTTTCTAACATACAGTATTGATTCTGTTTATTTTTGGTATCCTGCTTGACACATCATTACTGCGATCCTCTGACTTGTTAGACCGTACGCCATGGTTTCCCCTATCAACCTTCAGCCTTGGCATTTGATCCGGTTCAGAAAATACTGGCCATCGGGACTCAGAGTGGAGCACTAAGGCTGTATCCTTTTGTATTCTGAAGTGGAATTAGTGCACTTTATGCAAGTGATGTTTTGATTCAGCTGCTGGAACCCTTCAGAAGTCTGGTGGGAACCAGGTATGCAGGAGGGGAGAAAAAAAGCAAGCTCTGTTTTCTCTTTGTGGGTGGCTTGGCTGTTATGGTTGCTTTTTGTGTCAGTTCAAGTTGTGTTCATGATGTGAGGCATGGCTGATCAGTCCCCATTATCTCAAGTTAATATATACATTTTGTAGAGGATTACTAGTGTGCTGACAGTTTACAGCAGCTGACTGCAAATCTGAAGAGAGACGTAGGCTGAGCTTTATTTTGTTCTGCTCTGTCCTTTGGGATTGAAACATTCTGTGCTGCTTGCTAAGGGTGGGTTTTTGAGGTTTTTTTTTTGGTTGGTTTTTTTTGGGTGGTGGGCTTACTTTTACTTTTGCTTACTTTGTTCCTGAGATAAGCTTTGCAATGCTGTAGTTACCTGCTACTATTTCTGAGTAGCCAGATGATGGTTTCAAGTGGTAACAGTAAAGGGTACAGGAATTGTATCTCGCTAATAGTTTCCTAGTGACTGAGATAAGCGGAATGAATTTTTGAAATAAGGGCACCAGTAACCCTGCTTCCTTTTGTTCACTAAAAAGTGAACTACCCATATGTTCATAGCCATATGGTACCAGAGCCATATGGTACTATCCAAGCCATGTAACAACATATGTGTTTTAACTTTTATTTTTAAAAGATGATGTCCTGTAGATTCTTTAATCCACGCTGCTGTTGCCCAAACCTTTGCTTTTCAGCATAAGATAATTAATTGAATTCTTTGTTGTCCTAAAATTGGCTGAACTCTAAACACTATGGGGAAGGCTTAGGCCATCTTGCTAGAAAAATTGACTTAATCCTCTTTAAACTGTAGGTAAATATAATATTTTCCTTTGCTACTTATATTAGTCTACAAGTACACCTTTTTTGTTTCTTTCTGGAACATCACTACTGTCTGTAAGGTTAATTGCTTTAAGAGGATTGACTTAAAAGTTGAAAAACTAGAACTGAAAAACTAGATTTGTATTATGAACTCCCAAGGTTTCTTAATTCAAAGCATGATGAACAGTGATGACAATGCAGTGTTCTTAATGCTGTATTTGAAACTACCCTTAACTCCATAAACTGTTGTTTTGAAAAGGTCATAAAGTTGGTGTAAATAAAGAGTACAGTTCGTGTAGGTGATGTTGTTAATAATAATAAGTGAGAAAGCAATAAATAAGAAAGCAAGAGACATAAAAGTAAGGATTTGGATTGGAAGAAAAGGAGAGATGAAAATGCACCTATTTAGAGCTTGCCTATTATTTTGGGCAACATAATGTTGCAGTTTGGATAATGATGACTCAACAAAACCTGTTTATGGATGCTTTTATGTGACTACACACACCTATGAATTCTTGGAGTGTGAATTACTTTCTAAATAATTGAGAGAGCAATTGGAAAATTGTTGGGGAAGAAACAGTTACTGTGAGAAAACTGCAGAAAATGTATTTTCTAAAGATAGGGAAGAGGTTGCATGCAGAGGCTGAGAGGTTAGTGCTCCCCTAACTTGGTGAGGAATATGCTTCTCAGTACTTTGATACAGTTCTTGATTCGTGGAAGAACTGCTTAAAAGTCCTCAACCTAAGCTATAAACAGACAACACTGCAAAAGTTGCATCTCCTGTGATTACTTCCTCTTGTTGATGGAGGAGTGCAGGCAGAAGGAATAGACTTAGATTCCCAATACATATTCCCAGTGTAAAACCAGCCCCTCACTTTCTGCCTAATGAAACCAGTTTGAAAAGCACTCATTGGGAAAGAGTAAAGCTTGCAAGAAGTGCTTATTTCATTCTATTGCTGAGAGATAAAAACAGAGCCAAAAAGTGCTTGTTGACCCCCAGAATGATTTGCCTGCTAAGGTTTTTATGAATAATAAATTATGTGCAAGGGTTCATTAAAGTGGGAGCCACTTACTCTTTAAAGCTGCAAGAGTGTTTTTAATTGAAATGAGGTGTGGACTAGAAAGACTGAGTGTCAGTAAAGTGATATTAATTGAGAAATAAATCCAAAAGTGGGATCTTAATTTTCTTCTGTTTTCGTGCTGTGAGAGTATAGAAGTAAAGGAATGATAATGCTTCTTTCATTGCCTACCAGCAAATGGGAGCTGGGTATTAGTGTTTTCCTTGTGTCTTCAAGTATAGGTGAATCTTTTCAAGCTTTCACTGCTTTTCTATTGTAAGTAAGTGATCTGAGGAATTGGGAAACAAGTCTTTTTTCTAGAAAGGGTATTAAAGATAAAATATTCTTGAATCAAGGAATGAGAACCTGTTTGAAATTTCAGATGAGGAAATTAATGTTAAAGTCCTGATTTGACTTCAGGTATTTATCAGCTAAATAATGTCTTTACAGAGGTTATCTGTATTTGATCAGACTTCTATCTGGGTATTTTAAATTCAGAACCAGTATCGATCGGAACAGGTGGAATTTTCTTAGCCACACTTGTCTCATTCTTCTTTATGAGGACTGTAACCACTAGTGAAAGAACAGAGAGACTTCTAATACACAAATACTAAATGTTGTCTCTAGTACTGTTATAGTGATGTGTAAAAATAGAACTAAAGCTTTTTCTGAAAACACAAAATCTGTGGATGCAAATATACTATCAGTTCACTGACTTTGTCTTTATCTCTAATAGATAAATATACTAAATAACATCAATGCTGTATTGAGTTCACTGAATCCACAAAATAATTGTAAAAATGGAAATACCTCAACTATAGATGTCATGTTTCCCTAGTTGAACTGAAGTAGAATTACTACTCTGTTAATATTCTTTGCCTCTAGGCTCGATGGGTTAAAATTGGATGGGAGTGTTGTGTAGTTGGTAACTTAGTGTGCCAGAGGTATGACTGCCTTTCCATGCCTATAACCAGCAGTTGGTTCAAGATCTTGCAGTTTTAAGAGGGAGATAAGTCCATAAAAATACGAGGAGAAGACTGCTTTTAGTGTAAAACTTAAACCTAAAGAGTCATCAAAGGTGGTTTGAGATTATTCACTACCTTAACTTCAGCAGTATATTCCTTGTATTCCTTTTAAAAATCTTGATTCTACTTCCAGAGTTACTTAGGAATATTTCTAGCTCTTTAGCTAAAAGACTAAAAAGTGTTTGAGGCAGACTGGTGTTACTCAGGTATTAACCTTAAATGGAGAAGTATTTTTTCCCTCTGTAGAAAGGAATACTTTGAGCAATTACCAGCAAAGGCTGTGTTCTGTTTTCAGCTCTGAAGAACAGCTTGGTTCCTTTACTGTGTATGAGGAAAAATTGCAGCGAGTAGCTTAGTAGAATATAAACCTTGGACAGCCAGCTGACGTGACCATCTCCCTGACATAAGGATCTGTTGAAAATAGTTGTTTGATTCTGTTTTCACTGTTGCAGGGGAAATGGAGTGATGAGGTAGGCAGAAGGGCAGATGCACGGTGCTGAGTGACATAAAATCTCAAATGATTTGTCACAAACAGTTGCACTCACCTGGATATGCTGATCCAGTTGTTCCTCTGAGTATGTGGTATGTGATGCTGATTGGAGGACACTTGTTCCAGATGCTTGAGGTGTTTGAGTCTTGGCTTGAGCCTGCCTCTAGTGTGGCACTTCTGCCTCGGGCTCCCCCCTTCTTCACAGTGCTGGATTTTTGTGGATGTGATCCCCACAGGAAGCAGTTGTGCTTTCTATTGATTTCAACCTGCTATGGTCAGTGTAAGCTGCTAGTGACCTCATTTGTCATTGCAGGTCAATGTCTTTGGCTTTCTCCATACTTGAAGGGATTTAGCTGCTGTTACCAGGATGGCTTTTGCCGTTTGATCTGCTGTTGCAACTTGTGAGATACCAAGTAGTTAAAAGTTCATCTATGCTTTGCTTCTTTTCCATGTGCATAATTGGCTTTGCTTTGTTTTCTCAGCAGATATAAAGCCTTTTAATGAGTTAGCTTAGTATATCTACTCATGGTTTAACTTGATGTCATTGGCTAGACTTCACCCCATGACATCCAGACAATGTTCAGTGTCATAGGTAATAGCCCTGCTTCCATGCTGTCCATTGCTGTCTCTCTTCTACTTAACAGTCCCTCTAGAAGTCCATTGTGATCTGAGCGGGGTGGCATATAAACTCTAAAAAGGCTTAAGATGAAATGGACTTTTTCAGGACTTTTTTTTGTCTTTAGGATGATGTTTCCTCAGAACTTTAAGTCCAGGGCCCTGTACAATTATTAATTTAATAGTCTGCTGAGCTTTTTTGTTTGCTTTTATAAGGTAGAATAAACTGTGAAGCTAAAGCAGAGGAAATTGAAGTAATTCTCATGCCCTCTGCAATTTAACTGCTCCATATTAAACAAGTTTCTTCATTTTTCTGCACTTTAATTTCTCAGTAGAAAAACTAGAACAATATATCAAATGAGATGTATTGTGATTGTCTGCCAACATGAATACAATATCTTTATTGATGCTTCATGACTTAAAAATACACATTTACAGCTTGAAGCTCAGCCTATCTCTTGATAGAAGGAATTCTTAAAAGGAAGACCATTGCCACTAGAAATTCTCGAGAAACCTGTAGAATAACTGTTGTACCTTTCACACAGACCAAATTGTGCCTCAGACTCTTTATTCCCAGCAGAATAGGTTATTTAATTTAGCTTTTTCTTTCTCTTGGAAACCAAGTTCGCAGGAAGGAGAAAAATTAGATTGTTTGTCATTCTGTCATTAAATATCTGAAGATTCCAGTCATTCTGAGTGTCTGTTACTTTCTCCACAGACTTTTATGTAAGAAAAAGGCTGAAGTTTTTATGTATTTGAGGTGTATAAAGCTTGCTTTCTGTGATTTCCATTCTCTGCCCTTTGTGAGAACTCAGAACTTACTTTTTTTTATCAAAATAACCTGGGTGTGAAGTTCCACGCAGTCAGTTTCTGAATTCTCTGGAGCTCTAA